TACCATACCTTTATTAGTTTAATTTAGCTTAAACCCTCCCCACCCCCCAGCATCCTCACCTTCATTTCTTCCCAAGGTACATAATATCAGTGAGTGCTCCTGGGCAAGGAGTTTTCTTTTCTTTTCTTTCTTTTCTCTCTTTTTCTTTTTCTTTCTTTCTTTCTTTCTTTCTTTCTTTCTTTCTTTCTTTCTTTCTTTCTTTCTTTCTTTCTTTCTTTCTTTCTTTCTTTCAAAAAGATTTTATTTATTTATTTGACAGAGAAAGAGAGAGAGAGTTCACAAGCAGGGGGAGAGGCAGAGGAAGAGGGAGAAGCAGGCTCCCAGCTGAGCAGGGAGCCCGATGCAGGGCTCGATCCCAGGACCCTGGGATCATGACCTGAGCCGAAGGCAGCCGCTTAACTGACTGAGCCACCCAGGCACCCCTTCTCTTTCTTTCTTAAAAGCTACTGAAAGAGACCTTTCTCTGCTAGATAGTGTCATATAAAATTGTGAGGTGTAGAATGGCTGCAACTATTTTTATTGTCAAGATTGGAAGCGGCCCAAGGATGCACCTACCATGGAACAGGACAGATCCAATAGAATGCAGAGAAGTGGAACTGCAGCCCTGATGGCCTTGTGAATCTCTGCATCAGATTTCCTCTGGGTCAGATTTCCTCTGGATTTTTCAATTAGTGGGCAATGAAGTCTCCTCCTCTACTTAGAACTTTTTATGTTTTTGTTTAGAAACATTTATAATGTAGCTCCTGTATGCCAGGCACTGTGTTAGGCATTAGTAATACGGAGGGATGAATGGAATATATTTCTTGTCTTTGTGGGGCTTATACTAGAATGGAGGAACAGACATGTAATGAGATGATTGGGATAGAGTGTTGTGTTACAGGTGCAAACCATAGATAGCCCACAAAGATGGAAAAGCTTTTTGATAGTTGCCACAGAAAAAAGTTGATGGAAGAAATTATTTTTGTCTTTGCTTACGGTACTATAAGGGTGCCAAAATCAGGAGAGCCCACTCCATAAGTCTACAATTATCTTCATGTTTTCAGTAGTGGTTTAATTTCAGCAAAGCATTATTTGTCACTTTCTAAAGTGACAAAGCATTTCTAAAGCATTATTTGTCACATTAAATTAATGTTAATTTGGGTTTGTATATAACTTGTGAATTTGTTGGGTTTATAATTTAAGAGCTGTAAAAATAAGGAATTTATTCCTAATTTGATTTATATATGCTTGGATTTGTCAGTAACTGGGTAGGTCTGTGAGGTGATTTTTTTTTTTTTTCTTTTAAAGGATGTCCTTACGCTACTCAGTTTTGAAAAACACTAGTAGGGATGGGCGCTGGGGAACCATGGAAAATTTGAATCAGTGGAGGAATGGAGGGCAAGATTATAGGCACAGAAATCTCATAGTTTAGGTTGATAATGAGAAGTTTGAATTAAGGTGCAGAAGTGGGGTCTGAGAAGAAAGTATAAGATATGCTTACTACATAGCCTTTGTGGTTGATGAGATTTGTGGGATGAGGGAGAAACTCCGGATGTCTAGTCTGGATGGATGCTGCTGCTGTTCAGAAAAAGAGAGATTAATTATGGAGAGGAGAAACACGTTTTTCTGGGGCTGAAGTGGAAGTGTGTGGAGGGAGGGACAAGATGACACCCATTTTGAATATCTTGAATTTAAGTTGTCTCTTAAACATTTAGGTTAATAAGTCCTATAGTTTAGGAGATAGGCAAGGAACAGGAATATAGTTTAGGAGTCTTCAGCATTTAGAAAGTTACTGAAACCATAGAATTATGAGATTGCCCAGGAGGAGTTTATTGAAAGAGAAGTGAGGCCAAGGATATTCTAGATGGTCTTGGGAGAGGAGTCCATATTCTCTTTGTCTCTGTTTTTCTGTGCCAAAGTCCCTGGTGAGTATGTCTATTTGGGTAAGCAAAGAATATTGAAAAAAAAAATTACTTGAGAGAGATTAATTTTAAGAGTAAAAAGTATTAAATACTACAGTGTATTTAATTTTGGTGTTTTTTCCAAACTCAGATTACCCCCAGGAATAGAGATATTAGACTACCCACCTTAGCCTATGCTATCTCTGTCCAAGTCCACAGAAATGGCAACCTTTTTTTTTTTTTTTTAAATTGGCATGAGGGCCAATTCAGGAAAAAAAACAACTGTGTTTATAGTTGAGTAGTTCCCTTATGGATATACAAGATACTTGATCAGAGTAGAGGATACTTTTAAATCAAGAACTTAAAGACTCTTCTTCACATAGACTATCCTCAATAAGCAGAAGGCAGTCTGAGTCTGAATACCTTTATAAAAGACATTCTTAAAGATGTAGCTAGGCCTGTGTATGAAGTAAGACTGCCGTGGTTAGGGGCCCCTGGTATACAAATGTTGTCAGTAAACACTGATAGACTTTCCAGCCACACAGGGTGCCTAGGGAATAAGCTGTTAACATTTGAAAGTTTGAGATTAGAAACCTGTGTGTAAAAAAATGGGGAACTCTTGAGATAGGTCTAATTATCTCTAAGGCAACAAATAGTCCTTTTGGTGATTTTTTATGTTTAGGAATGAAAATACTGGTTATGTATCTTTTAAAAACACTGCTTTGGAACTATTGTACTAAAAAAAAAACCACTTATTCCTTTTCCTTATTGTGTATGTGTAAAAATAATTAAGTATTTTATTCGCTTTACAGCTTATATATTTATACTTCTTTATACTTCTCTATGACACAGACATGGATAGACTATTAATTTATCTCAGGGAATCAAAATAGTGTCTGGCATATTTGAAATCTTTTACTGACATCTGGTATCTGGCATGCTGTAGGACTGATTTTGGAAACTGTTAAGAAGATCAGACTAGCTAGAATTCAGAGTCAGGGCAAATGACATTGGTATTTATGATGGTTCAGTTAGACCAATTTTTGTTGATGCTGAAGGAGAAAGATATATTGAATTTGAACATATAAGGGGTTCAAATGGTCGGTAGTGAAGAGAGTAAGAGCTTGAAAGTGATGACTCACCTGAAGATACGAAAAAATACTGATGCCTAGCTTCCATTGGCATTCCTTAGAATGTGTTGCAATCTGGGCATCAGGATTTTTTTTAAGCCTTTGGTGTTTCTAACACGCACTGCCCCAAATAATTAGAAAATCAGTCATCTTTCCCTGAAGAATTTTATTTTGCCTGTATTTCTGCTTGTAGTCATGTTCATTTAATTTGGGACATTTCCGTTTCTTAAAGTTGTAGAAGTAACTCCTAATGTATCAGGCTTCTTAGCTGTGAGCAATGAAAGCTGATTCTGGCTGATTTAGCAGAAATGAAGTTTACTGATATGTATTGAGTGGCTCACATAATTGGTAGAAGGCTGGATGGAGCCAGCTTTAGAAAAAGTGCAGAAACAAAGGGAAGCTAAACAGCTAGAACCTGCTGCTCTCTGCCGAACAAGTGACTGGATACCTGGGATGGGACTGGCCCCTCTGTGCTGCCACTGGTTCTGCTCTTACTGCCCTGGGAAGTAGCTGTCACGACCTCCACTATTGCTGTCATCAGAAAGAATTTTCTCTTGTCTCTGCTTTTCTTTGTCATTAGCTTCCATATTTACAATCTCTGCTAGGTGTGTCTGTTTGGATTAGAATAGGCTCCCAGGGCATGTGGGAAAGCAAGTATCTGGCATTTTCCATTTTTAGTAGTGGAAGATAAGCTCTATCTTGCATCAAAACTCTTGAAGTTGGGAAATCTCCAGACACAGGCAAGGGCTTCACATGCTTGGAAACCAACAAAATGACAAAGATCATATGCTATACATAGTATAGCCTACAAGATGGTATTTATTTTATGCATTTATCCACTACCCCTCACACGAAGAACCCACAGGACATGGGTGTTTTTCCATAATGATTTTTAAACCTTTAGAACATGCTATCACTTGTCCCTTAGCAAGCAGTAAGAGATAACAAAATAAGTGAGCAAGTAGCAAGCAAATTAATAGGAAAACTTAGACATATAACATGAATATTTATATCTTATTTTTGGAAGTGTGGAGACCGGTATAAATATAAAATAGGCATGTTTCTTGATAGTAAAAATGTTCTTAGTTTCCATGGTGGAAGTTATATATCAGTTATATGTCAACACTGTCCAATAGAAATATAATGTGGACCACAAATGCAATCAATCCATATATGTAATTTTAAATTGAATTAAAAATATAAAGAAGCATTTAATTTTATTAGTATATAATTTAACCTAATATATTCAAAATGTTGTTTCAACATTTAATCAGTGTAAATATTTAAGGGATAGCTTACATTTCCTTTTCATACTAAGTCTTCGAAATCTAGTGTATAGTTTATACTTAGAGTACAGCTCCATTCGGACTAACCTCATAGTGACATGTAGCCAATGGCTACTGTATTGGACAGCACAGTTCCGTGGCACTGTGTAAAACGCTATATAACTTCCAAATGCTGCCAGCTAACTGTACCTATGATGCAGTGTTTTGGGTGCCTTATGAAAATCTAATGGATGTTTAAAAAAATGTAAACTAAAAGTAATGACAAAATTCTTGATTATTCATTCTCTTCGAATCCAAAACAGTTTTACTTGATTTTGCAGTATTTTGCAATTTTTTTAATGGTGGGGATGGAGGTGTGAAGTGGGGAAGAGAAACCTAGTTTTTTTCATTAGGCTTTGTTTTTGTTTATTATTTTTATATATATATATTTTTTATTTTTTATATTATTTTTATATTTTATGAACATTTTAATTCATGAGGGATTAGAGGTGCCTTAGGCAGAGAAAGGCAACATACTATAGTGCAGAGTTTGCATGTGAATAATCAAATGAATCATATTTTACTACATTTAATGTTTATGGCACTACTTGGCTTAGTTTCTGAAGTTTTTGAAAATAAAAAAGATAATAGTGATCATATATGATTTCTTTCCCTAGATAATTCATGTTGATAGTTTTATGTTCTAATTATTTTTATTCTTGCAGGCTGCTGAATCAGGAATAATAAAAGTTAAAACAATAGCTGCACGAAACACCGAAATTTTGGCAGGTAATTTTTTGCTTAAAAATTCAACAATTAATGAAAATTTCACTAATAATAAAAGTAGAATCTTTAAAAAAAAAAAACCCAGAAAACAGCCATCAGTTTTCTGTAGCCTTTCCTTTATGCCCTAGCATGCTGTTTATAGTGATAAAGAACATTTAAAGGTCCCTAACTTAAGAACTGATTGGGTTTGCCAAGGATGAATGTTATGAAATTCTCTGAAATCAGAAAGGTTAAAACTACTAACTCCTTACAGGCAAGGATTTGCATTCTCCTCCACATCTTGTTGATCACCTAAGACATACCTTACCCATAAAAGGCATTCAGTTAATATTTGTTGAGCTGAATGGAATGAAAGATTGGTTCTCAGTCCACCTTCCAAGATCTATTTTATCTTTATATAATATAAACAGGTGATAGTGTAGTATTACAAATTTAGTAGTTATAAAACAAAACTCATATAAAATTTTATATGAGTTTTGAATCCTAGGACTAAGACAGTATGGTCATGAAGAAAGAATGGGAGGGGGGTGGAGAAAATAAAAAATTGTTTTCTTACATTCTCTTGATTGAACCTGGTTTTCAAAGAGGAATTTCAAGAGTTCCTCTTTGGCACTCTTTTTGATACTTGGTTTACTTCTTTCTTTTCTTTGGTGCCTTTTTGTTCTTCCCTCTATAATGAACATGGAAAAGGAAACTAGCATTTTCTGAGAATCTGTTATATGTGAGACATTTGTGCCATTCTAATAAAAGACAGCCTTGTGGGGAAGTATTTTTATTTTATAGTAGAGCATGTTGAGATGCAAAGAGATTAAGTTACTTGACTAAGGTCACATGATAAGTGGTGGAACTAGATTTAAGTCCAGGGCTGTTCAGAGCCCATGTTCTTCCCGCTACAGTATACTGTCATAGTATTGTGAGGTTTCCACACTAGCTACTCCCTCCCAAGGGTTTATACTTAAACATTGGCTTACTTCACTGATCCTTCAGTCTGCATTTCCAGTTCCAATGGTGCTATTGCTCTCAGCTGGTTATAGGAGAAAAGCAGTCCTATTAAGTTAATTGAAACAAAATCCAAATAGTGCAGAATCTCTCTAACTCTCATAAATCTCTTCACATTTTTAAAAGTGATACCAAAAAGTCCCTAATTGGTGAAATCTCAGAGAGTATTACAAAATGAAATGAGGACTTTTGAGGGCAGTTGTAAGGGTGGAAGGTGGATTTCACTTGGGCTTCCTGGGCTTTGCTGGACTTTTGCCCTTAGGGTGAGCTCTCCTGTGTTGCATCTGTTTCTCACAGTTTCTTCTCTGATTTTGAACCAATCTGTCGAAACACCACATAGTTTTATAACAATTATTCACAGCACTGAATAATGCTTTGTGTGCATTTTGAGAAGGGGTATAGTGAAAGTGGTGGGTAAAGGCAAAGGTAGGTATGGTTGGATTGGGAGGGTGGGCTCAGTGGGTTTTGGGAGATGCATGTTGGGTGGATTAGCTACTGTGAGGAAACTAATGTTTCAAGATAAATTATGATCTGGATATTTTTAAATTAGCTAATCATATTAGAACATCATTACAAATATTAACTTTTGCTACTATAATTGCTGATATCATGGTAAGTCCTTAGTTATTCACCAACACAAGTTTTCATTGGGTCTGTAGCTGATGGAAGATTTTTTGAATAGACTGATTTCTTCAGAGGATCACTCTCTGGTGCTGAGTTCTATACGAAAGTAAAATGTTTAATTGGTTAATCTTAAGAATGAGTAAGAAAAATTTTGTCTCTGTCAGTATGAGTTTAATGTATAGGTAGGCTGTTCATTTAATTCACTGAATTAAATATTGATACCATCAAATCATGCTAGTACAAATCTTTATGTACATAAAATTGATAGTTCATGCTTTAAGATCCATGGTGTCCAGAGCCATGCACTTGAGGAGCTATATTAGCACTTAAACTATTTCCTAGCATTTTTTTACCAAGTATCTGTAGCAATTGATACTTTAAAATTTATAGCTTTTTAAACCACTGTCATCTTGAAAATCAAAGGCTCTCGAACAAGGAAGAGTTTAGTCAATATGTAGTTTCTAAATTACTTAATTAGACTACAGGAAATACTAAGAAAAATTTGTAGTTAATTTTTAAAAAATTTTAATTTCTGGAGAAGTGTTTACTACTCTGTAGTTCTAGAGACTGTAGGTTACTACTTTTGTGCTATAATGGATGTTAAAGATACCAAACAATGGAGGAGTTGCAAATGAAATGGGATATTGAATTCTCAGCTATCTCTGGATATTCAGAAAATATAAAGGGTTGCTATAAAAATTAGAACCCTTAATTAGGATTAACCAGTCTGACTAATGATATTCAGCGTAGATTTCTAGCCAACTTTAGTTTTCTTAGATTTATTTTTCAAGGGAAGGTTATTTACATTGCAGAAAAAATCTTTGCTTTACATCTCCCCTTCTTTTAAGCATCCTCCTTTAATGTTTATTTTTCTTTGTTTTCACTGCTGTCATGAATGCTGACATAAGTGGGAATGCTATGCCAGGTAATGTCAGCATTGATTCAGATATACAGATCATTATCTCAAAATTTCCTTTTTCTTTAAAGATAAAGCTCTGCAAATGAGACATAGCAACATCAGGTTTTTCATTTACAAGGCCAAATGCCTTAATCTTACATTTGACTACCATATATTACAAAATGTTTTTATTAAGCCAGCTTATAGTATACTTGAGGTTGACTGAGAAGACATGTGTTATACAAAAATTACATGAACAGAGAATCTGCTTTTTGAATATTTGAAACAAGGAAACCAGTGAAGTTGTGATATCTTAAAATTGTGTGTTTAACCCATACTCAAAACCATAATGGTTACATCTACCTTTGGCTGCTTTCAGCTATTGTCAGTATACATATAGAATTTTCACATAGATGATCACTATGTATGATTTGTGTTTTTTTCTCACAGTTTCCCTCACCTTTTTCATATCTACATGGTCTTATTACTAAAAAGTCTTTAAGTAGCAATGAGTAATTATACTTCGGAATTATTTTCTGATGTTAAAGATAATTTATCTGCTGATTTTATTTAGTATTTTCTATCTTATCAATACACATGCTTGTGATATCTTACAAACATCTATAGAATATATCATAAATACATTCTTAATAAGGAAATAATTATGTAAGAATCACTAGGAGAGATGCAAAGATGAGTAGTATAACTCACCTCTAATCTATCTGGAAATATAGGAAGTATACTTGATAAATACATTCTTAATAAGGAAATATTATGTAAGAATCACTAGGAGAGATGTGAAGATGAGTAGCATAACTCACCTCTAATCTATATGGAAATATAGGAAGTATACTTGAAAATGCATATGTGCCTGCTGTTCATCCTCTTTAGCTTACCTCCTCTTCCATTTGCCTTTTGAAGTGCTTTGCCAGAAATTTTCTCTTCTAGAGGACATACTTACCCGAGGTCAGGATCAGTATCTTACTCTTCCTTATATCACTAGTAGTTAGCACATTACATAGGAAATAGTAAGCCCTCATTCAATGTAGGCTAATAGTGAGTCACTCCAAAATGCAAGTAAGTCTCTTAGTGCTGCCTCTACTGTGTTTTTTACTTCCCAGTCTTTACTGTAATTTTACATGTTATATGATTCAGGTAGATGAATTTTGTCATACTTAGTTCATATCAGCCAGATAACAGAATAATGAAGGAGACAGACCCTAAATGAGAATTTTAATACTGTGGTAAATGCCAAGATGGAAATATAGACAGGCTTATTTTATTATAGGAACATAGAGAAGGCACCCAACCCAGCCTGGGAATCTGAAGTTGAGTCTCAAAGCTTAAAAAGGAGTTAGCCAGGCAAATAAGGTGTAGAAATGGAAAGGAAAGCAGATTACTTGAATATAAGAGGTATAAAACAGTTTGGTCTATTTGGATACACTATTCAAGTATTGCCATTGTGTGACTTCCTGAGCTGCTTGATGGAAGAGTTTGAATCAGGGCAGTGGCACATTCATTTTAATGTTTTTATGTAAACTATTCTCACAGCAGTGGGAAGGTGTATTTCAATATACCATCAGTAAGGTAGAGGTCTGTTGGTAGGCTAGTTCTGTAATCCGGGCTAAATGACCTAGGGGGCAATTATCCATGCTTACAAGTTAACCTAGTGGGCCAGAGATTGCATAGTTTCTCTACAACATAATGTGTTCTTATTTATTCTTTTTTTCTTGGATTTTTAAAAACTTTTTAACCTTTTAATTTGTATTCTTATATCGTTAAGTACATTCCTTTGATGCTGTCTTTTCTAATTTTTCAAAATTGCTTCATAATATTATAGCAAGTGATTGTAGCTTATTTAACCATTCATTTATGTTAGACATGTTTCAGTATTTGGAGACAGTGCTTTCTGAAAAGATAAAAGTTTATGCCTTTACCAGCAATATGTGAGTGTATTTTTTATAACATCCTTACCTGATTATTATCTTAAAAAATCTTTTTGGGAATTGAACAGGCAAATGACTTCTTATTTTAATTGACATTTGTCTTTAGTGTTGAACATTTTCCTCCGAATATATTATTTCCTTTTTTCACTTTACATTTATTTCTTTGAGTTTTTGTGTTTTCTTATCAAATTATTTGAGCTGTTTATATAGCAAAAGTATTGACTTCCCATCATGTTTATATTTTCTACAAGTTATTTACCTTTTAAATTTTTATCTAGATGTTTTTCATTTTTAAATAATCTAACTTTTCTCATTTGTTGTTTTGCACTTAGGAAGCCCTTCTCCTTCCATGTAGTAGATAGTCATTTTTATTTTCTTTTAGTTCTTTTTTTTGTTTAATTTTTTTCTTAATTAATAATTTGTGAGTGACATGAGGACCTAGATTTTTTTTTCTTTTGCAAAATTACTAACCAATTGTACTAGTATCATTTGTTGAATAATCCTTCCTTTTCATATAATGTATTTTTAATATGAAACTGCCCATATTTTATTTGTCCTCCTATTCTTGAGTCACTTAAAGTATTTTCAGATCTTTTGAACCATTAAAATATTTTCTTAATATTGTTAGAAATATTAGTCTTTTCCATAATTAAATTTTAAGGGGTTTTGAGGATAGCAGTCATGTCTACATCACATTTTATTTCTTTCACAAGAATTACAATTTGTTATTTAATGACCATTAAAATTTATCATAATGAAACTTTTATTAACCCCCGTTAATGTGATTCATAGTGGGGTATCCTAGTTTAATTCTTTCTTTCCAGGATAAAAACTACAATTATGCAGTGAAACTGCTCAGAGCAAGGAAACCCCTAGGATATGGGGACCTGCTGGACCTCTTCCAGGTGTGTGAAAGTGTATCATTTGCTCTCACAGTTATAAAATTTGGAAATATATTTATCAACCTAGTGTTATTCTATTAAAGGAGTTATGTTTATTAAAGAACTTAGGTAAAAAATAAACTTTATTTTCCTGACCCCCGAAAAGCCTGTCTTTATATTTTAAAGGAAATTGAAATAGAGAATTTTGATTAAAAAGAGTTGACCTTTTTCTCTTTCTTTCCTGGAACGAGTTTTAAAAATGGTTAGGGCAGGATATCTCTGTTGCTCTACAGCTTTTTCCTCAGTGTGATTTCTAAAGTCTAAGCCCATAGGAAGGTTTTTATATAAAGCTACATTTAAATAACATGTCATTAAAATTATTGTATATAAAGAGAGAGCACCTGTCTCTCAGAAGAGCAAGATTAATTTCTGTTTAAGACTACTATCACTTTTAAAAGAAGAAAAAAACACTAACTTTTTTTTTTGGTTATAATCTATCTTACTGCATTGTGATCTGGATATGGTAGATGTTTGGGTTTTCACACTATGCTTCAAAAGACAGAACAGATCAATAGGTTGTATCTTGTTTGTTATTGATGATTTATTCTGGATAACAGAAACTTCCTTTTTGATTATTTTATTCTTATATAAACTGGGAGAAAAAGAAAATGGGAAGGAGGCAAGAGATAGATACTCAATTCCTTTGAGTTACATTAAAATAAAATTTATAAAAATTATTATTTATTAATTTTTTTATTAAGTAGGCTCCACACTGGGTGTGGAGCCCAATGCAGGGCTTGAACTCACTCCCCTAAGATCAAGAGTTGGACACTTAACAGCCATCTAGACGCCCCTAAAAATTATTTTTAATACTATTTTAATTTATCCTAACTTGAGACACCTGGGTAACAGTGACTGCGCTGCATACAACATTTCACTGAAATTTACCTTATTTTATTCATTCTAAGCTGCACAGATTTTTCACATTTTAGTATTCCCCAAATTGATATGCATCTTAGAATCATTGTGGGCCAGGTAGTATGGAGGTGTCTTTTTTGGTGCATATGTGAACTTGTTTATAGGTATTCATATTATTATTACATCATTTGAATTATGTGCATTGTTGATATCCCATAAGTTTGACTCCTAAATATTTAAAATGTCACCCTAGTAGTTGTACAGAAACTTGCTGTTGACATCTTATGGTAAGGTCAAAAAAGCACCAGCATCAATATGTGTGGAATGGGTGACATTGGCTTAGAAGATGATCTCAGAGGCAATAATGAAGTACTCTTTCAAGAAATGAGGCATCCCAAACAATATGATTATAAAATGGGCAGAAAATCTATATAGACATTTTTCAAAGAAGACATACAGATGGCCAATAAGTATATGAAGAGATGCTCAACATCATTAATCATCAGAGAAATGCACATCAAAACCACAACGAGGTATCACCTTAAACCTGTCAGAATGGCTGTTATCAAAAAGACAAGAGATAACAATGGCCTTGATGGATGAAATTGTGAGGAACAATTCTAAGTGATTAGAAAGCATTGTATCATAGTTTAATTGACAGAGTTAATTGGCACTGATTTTTCTTTATGATACTCAAGTGTGTCTTGAAGTCATTGTCAGAGACTCAAGAAAGTACATTTTTTTTCCTTCTATGAAGATAGTTTCTTTCCTTCATTTATCTGAAGACTTCCGGCAGTGCAGATCGGTGGTTCCTCTTAGATACTTTCAACGGTTTTAACTTCGATTTGCATTAAGTGCTGTTTACCTTAAAGAGTGGCAGCATAATGTTGTGGGAAGAATAGCAAACCAGGAGTTAGAAGACCTATTTTAAAAATCTGGCTTTACCACTTACTGTGCACTTGAGCCAAATCATGCTCTGTAAACTCTCTATGATTATTGTGATACTCAAATGAGAAACATGTTAACATCATAAAAATGATAAATACAACTTGTTACTATTGGAAGTTTTTGTTTAACTAAACAACATTTAATGACTAGGCATGTTCAGCAGAATTAGGAATAGCCTCATACTTCAGAGATTCTGGCAGGTTTGAATATGGTAGCATATTTACTGCCTCAGAATAGTATTTTTTTTTTTAGCTTTACTGTCCTTTGTTAACATATATGAAACATTCATATAAATGTTTTGAAACATTGTTATGGAAAATTTGTGACTCTGGGTTTGAATCAAAACTTTTATGCTTAAGAAAGCAAGGAAATAAGGCAAGGAGCCCCTTTGGAAACACTGTTCTTTGCCAATCTTATTTGCCATCTCTTAGCTGTGTTAAATCAGTAATTTATGCTGGCATACTGAGGGACTTTGCAGAGTATGCCGTAGGAGATTGTGGGCTTTATTTAGCATACTATAAAGGGAGCTTTGGGAGAAGAAAGGTGGGGATTTAAATGATGAAATTTATGTTAACACTGGTTTTATATTTTTAATGGTGACTGTGGATGACTTTCTAACAATTTCTTTTGAAAAAACATGTTAAAACTCAGATTTGTATGTCTTAGTTACAAGTCTTAACCTCAAAAAATAATTGATGGTTGTAGTACCTTTGAAAACCATATACCAAACACATTAAGTTTAATGTTCTGTTTCCTTGGAATTCCATTTTATCTATTTAAATTCTCCGAGGATTACAGACCTATTTTATTCATCTTTGTATAGCCATTAAGTGTATACTGGTTTAATTTCATTTTGTAAATTTAAGAAGGTATTCTTCAGTTTGTGCATTTTCTACCTTTTTACATTTTTGTTGCTACTTTAAAACTTCTGAAAGAATTGGCTTGGTGGAAGGAGTTAAATTAAGATTTGGAATTACAGCATGTGCATCCAATTAACTTAAAGTAATGCTTTAGTAATAAGAGGAGTAATGTTATTGTTTTTAATGAGTTTATTTCTTGAAGAAATTAGGACTGTATAAATTCAAGGCATGTAATGAAATTCTAGAGAGCCTCTGAAGGGTGATGGGGATGATGTATATACTATTTCTAATTACTTTTTTCTTCTCTAGAATATTAATTCTTTTTCATATTTCCCCTTCTGAACTGTTGAAGAAATAGAGTGCTTCTCTGAGGCAGGATAGAACTTCTGAGAAGTTGTCCTTAAAGAGTTTATAGCAGGAGTTGGAGAAAAACCAAAAGACAGTGCTGGGAGAAAAGCATGGGAAAGCTGTAGCTAAGGAGGGTAGTTTAGATACAGAGTCTGTAGTATCTATCCAAAGTATTTTAACTCTTATTGCTTGGTTTCTATTTTAGTATTTACATAAAGTGGTTTTTATTAAGATTGTTAATACTAGTAAATACATAAATGTATTCCTACTTGTGAATTAGATTTAATAATTTATTTTATATGTGTTCTAAATAAAGCCTTGAAAGAAAACAGCTCAGAGGTTGTTCAGCCGTTTCTAATGGGTTGTGGAACCAAGGAGCCAAAGATAACTCAGCTATGTTTGGCTGCCATTCAGAGACTCATGTCACATGAAGTCGTGTCTGAGGTAATGTGAAGATTTTATCTCAATTGTGCACCGAAGAATCAAATCAGGAGTTTTTATTAGGGGAGAATGAAGCATACCTGATAATTTAATGTAAAACAATTTATGTGCTATAAGGACATGGCTTAATTTTAAAAAGATCACCAGATTTTTCTCACTATTAAACACTCATGAATCATGAATAAAGATGAAGTACATTTTGTCATGTCATGATTAGGAAATCACCCTTCAGTGATACAGATCAGTGTCATTGAAGAGAATAAAATTTATAATTTTTTTAAAAAGGAGGAAAAATGATTTTCCTAGATTATCTGAAGTGATAATTTGTTGTTCATTAATTTGAGTGAATTGTTTGTATCTAACCTTATGTTAAAACAAGGAAAAAACATTTCGTCACTACAAATCTGCATCCTGCTTTCAAATGTAATGGTGTTACCTTAACTTTATACTCCATAAGTTACTTTGATAGAAGTATATATTCTTTTTCCTTTAATGTAACATTCTAAACGATGTCAGACTTAATTGACTTTATAAATATGTTGTTAATTTGAGTTGCATTTTGTTTTTTGTATACATATTGTAAATGGAATAATACATGAAATAGTAGCAGTCTCAGTTAATTTGCATATGTCTGTATTTATAAATGTCCAAATGAAATATACCCATATTGTAGAAATGAGCTTTGATTTTTGAATAGGTATCTCAGAACTGTATGCAGCTATTTGCATATATTCAAATGGTATATTTTAAATTTATTTTTTTGAGAAGAAACTTACTTAGCTGTGAATCTCAAATTGAGAGATGTGTTTTGATCTATAGATCTAGAAACGTGGGTTTTGTTATTATGATCAAGAAATTCTCTCCAGGTGAGGTAATATTTGTACATCTTTTTTTATTTAGGGACCTAAACATCTTACATTTTATTTGCTGACAATAATTCAACTAATTATTTTACAGACTGCAGCTGGAAATATAATTAATATGCTTTGGCAGCTAATGGAAAACAGTCTTGAAGAACTTAAGCTACTTCAAACAGTTCTTGTTCTTTTAACAACCAATACAGTAGTTCATGATGAATCACTCTCTAAGGTAGGAAACCTGTTGTCAAAGTTCATAAGTGCTTGGAGGAGACAGTACTTGAATAAGCTCGCTGAAAGAGGAAAGCCTGGTACTGTTTGTACCAAAAGCAACTTCTCTGTCCATGATAATGGACATTGCACGTTAAAAACCACTGGTGCCTTATTTTCCCCAGATTAGAGTTGAAATCAGGGTAAGGTAATTGGCATTTATACTAGATAAGGCTGCATGTATGGTAGGGGTTTCTCATTTCTTTCCCATTCCTACCCTCTTTGGAACATGTTAACAGCTGTTCTATTATTTATATCACTCTTTAAAAAGTTTTTTAAAACTATGAAGTATTTCTAAAGAACAGAAAGTACAGAGAATAATATAATAAAGAACAATCTTGGGCGCCTGGGTGGCTCAGATGGTTAAGCGTCTGCCTTCAGCTCAGGTCATGATCCCAGGGTCCTGGGATCGAGTCCCGCATCGGGCTCCCTGCTCAGCGGGAAGCCTGCTTCTCCCTCTGCCTCTCTCTCTCTCTCTCTCTCTCTGTCTCTCATGAATAAATAAATTAAAAAAAAATCTTTTTAAAAAAAAGAACAATCTTTAGTTAATGGTTTATTTATTAAGGAATTTGTTGGGCTTTCAATAATAGTTGTTATAATTTGCATACCTTTAACGATGGGTGCCTAATAAAGTAGACTGTGCCCCTGCACAAATTTTTTAATAGACCCTTCACAAAATAAGATAGCTATTGAATACATGGAAAGTGGCTCAGCATCATTAGTTATCATGGAAAAGCAAATTAAAACCACAAAGAGGTATCATTACGTATCCATTAGAGTAGCTAAAATTGAAAAAGACCAACCATATCAAGTGTTGATGATGTGGGAAAGTGCTGAATTCACACATACTGCTGATGGGAATGTGAAATTATAAAATCACTTTGGAGAACTAGCATTTTCTTTAAAAGTTTAACCTGTACTTGCCGTATGATCCAGCCTTTTCACTTCTAGTTATTTATCCAAGGTAAATGAAAACACATGCCATTACAAAGATTTGTATGTGATGTTCACAGCAGCTTTATTCACAGTGGCTAAAAACTGGAAGCAACTCAAATATCCATCAGCAGATGAATGGATAAGCAAAATATTTGGTATACCTATACTGTGAAATATTATTCAGGAATCAAAAAGTACAAACCACTGATTCAGAGAACAACATAGATGAATTTTACAAATATTACAAGTAAAAGAAAGACACAAAAACAGTGCATACTGAATAATGAAACGCTATTTGTGGAAAATGCCAGCTTATCTGTAGTGAAAAAGGCAAGATGGTGGTTGCCTAGAGCCAAAGGTGGAGGAAAAAATGGAGGGCAAAAGAGCACAAGGAGACTTTTAGGGTGATGAAACTGTTTTGTATCTCGATTGTGGCAGTAGTTTCATGGGTGAATATAACTAGGAGAACTCATCAAATTAAATACCTTAAAGAGATACAGTTTATTTTGTAAAATTATACCTTAATCAACCTGAAGTTGATTTTTAAAAAGAAAAAATGACTCCTTTTAAAAAATTATAATTTTACTCATTTATATGCTTAGCATATTTATATAATATTTCTCCAGATGATTTAGTGATATAACAAACTTTGAGTACTTGTTTTTTGCAAAACAAGTCATTCTGGGCACATAAAGCACAACACTTTTTTTTTTTTAAGATTTTATTTATTTATTTGAGAGAGAGACAGACAGTAAGAGAGAGTAGGAGCAGGGAGGAGAGGGAGGAGCAGGCTCTCCTCTGAGCAGGGAGCCCGATGCGGGGCCCGATCCCAGGACCCTGGGATTATGACCTGAGCCGAAGGCAGACGCTCAACGACTGAGCCACCCAGGCACCCCATCATAACACATTTTTATATACATGTTAAAAGAATCAAGTTGTGAAAGGCGTATTTCACATTGTCTTACCTAATCTTATGTGGCTATATATTTACAGAGTTTGAATTATTTCAAAATCCAAGGATTTTAGTGGTTTTATTGTATAAGAGGGTGGGACTTTAGTATCTGTGATTGGAATAGCCAAACATGAATTACTTAGTTTTGGGTTACATCAAATAAATATTCTATTCTTCAGTCCTAGTTCACTAAATGAAAATTGTTCTTTTAGGCAATTGTTCTTTGTTTTCGACTACACTTCACGAAAGATAATATTACAAATAATACAGCTGCTGCTACAGTGCGACAAGTTGTTACTGTTGTTTTTGAGAGAATGGTTGCTGAAGATGAACGACACAGAGGTAGAGTGATAAAAGTGGCTTCCTTTTCACAGTGCGTGGTTTCTATCCACAATTTCTCTTTTGATTTTCAGTCTTTGCCCTGTGAACTTAGGCTGCCTAAAAACTAGAATACTTTAAAAAATATATTTATTGTACTAATATTATTATATTGACAGTGGAGTTCAAAAAACTAAATCCCCAGCAGTGTTATCACCCCAAGAATAAACTCTTTATTTTCCATGTTTATTTCTAATTATGCATAATTTCACATTTTATATCAAATATTGCATTATATGTATTTTTAGCCAAACATTACATTATATGAATTTTTCATGTTATTCTTTTATTTTTGTAATTTAGATTTTACTTTATTTTTTTATATTTTATTTATTTATTTGAGAGAGAGAGGGAGCGAGAGAGAGCAAGCAAGCACCAGTGGGGGAAGGGAGAGGGAGAAGCAGACTTCTGCTGAGGAGGGAGCCCGATGCGGGACTCGATCACAGGACCCTGGGATTGTGACCTGAGCTGAAGGCAGATGCTTAACAGACTGAGCCACCCAGGCGCCCTGTAATTTAAATTTTAATGGATGCACTATGTTTTGTGGCTATTCTACAGTTTAATGAACTAGTTTCCTATTGGACGCTTACATTGTGTTTAGTATTTTAGTACTCTTTTGAGTGTCCTCCTTCATATTTTTTTCCATTTGAATTACTTCAAGGTAAATTTGCAAGAGTGGATTTACCTCATGTGAATTTTTGTCTGTACCTATTAGCATGTGTTAAGGATATTTATGTAATGTAAAGATTAATCTTTTCATATTTTCATCAAATACCTTTATTCTAATTTTAAACATCTTTTTGTGATTTTAAAAAATTTCCTAAAAACTTAGAAACATGTCAGAGAACTGAAGATACTGTTTCTATAGTAATTTTTATAGTTTGATAACTTTTAACTATAGAAATTACGTTTTATTCATTTGTTATTGGCTGAAAAGTAAATTATTCCCCATGATTAGTTGAAAAGATCCTAAGGTGGTACCATCATGAGCAACCTTTCTGCTTTATGTACTCAAGAAACAAAAGATTAAACTATCTTTCCCTTTTACATAGGGGAAAATCCCTATGTAATCCCCCGAACCCCCAACTCTTAATGTTATGCTATCTGTCATTTCATTTGAGGTTCTTTTGGTATTACTGATAAAAAATGGCAATACTATTAAGTAATTGTAGTGCTGCCTATTCTAATAATTTCTTTACTTTTCCTGAAGTTAACCATTGGTCAGATTTTTCACATTCAGTTTCAGGCATTCTTTTTTTTTTTTTAAAGATTTTACTTATTTATTTGACAGAGAGACACAGCCAGACAAGGAACACAAGCAGGGGGAGTGGGAGAGGGAGAAGCAGGCTTCCCTCTGAGCAGGGAGCCCGATGCGGGGCCCGATCCCAGGACTCTGGGATCATGACCTGAGCCGAAGGCAGATGCTTAACGACTGAGCCACCCAGGCGCCCCAGTTTCAGGCATTCTTGTTGGTTTATTAGAATATTTCCACTTACTTTGGTATATTGGTTTTTCTGCTTTTTTCCCAGGGTAAATACAGGTTGAGTTCTAGAGTTTGAAATATGAAAGAATTAATTATAGGATAAATTATAGGATAACTATAGGATAAATTATAAATTTTATCCTAATTATAGGATAAAACAGGGCAGTTCTGCAGTTTGGATTGTTATATATTCATAACTGCAGTATGATTCCTGGATTGGTAGTTTTAGCTGTGTCTCTAAAGACCGGTATCTCATTTAATACTTTCTAATAAGGTGGAAATACTTAGAACCTCGTTTTTTTTTTCAAGTAGTCTTCAAGTCAACATTTATCTGAATCAGGCTGTCATAATTTACAGAAAATGTTATCTTACTAGTATTCAAAGAAATGCTGAGTTGGGAAGCAACTTTCTAGCTGATGCTTAGCTAGTCAATATCTATAACTGACATAGTAATTGTGGCAGATCAAACAGTTAATTCTTTTGTTTATGCTGAGATGATATAGGAATTAACCATGTGGTAAACTTTTATGTGTTTGATGTTTAAAGGCACATTCAAAGATCATGTGAATTTTAAATCCATAAAATGAAGGGATTGGGGAATGGGAGACTGGGAAAATCAAATATATGGATAAAGATGCTAAGCTTATTAAAGTGACATAAGATAGTGAAGAGTAGTTTTTATGGCATTTTGTATAAAAATAAATTCCTAATGTTTTTTCCCATTTTGGAGGCATAGTTCTGAGCCTACATTTAAAGTTTATAATTTCATAAACATGTATATATTTTAAATAGTATATATGATTTATTAAAGGTCATTATATACCCCTAAAACCCATCTTATTTTGATTGCAGATATTGTAGAACAACCAGTACTGATCCAAGGAAATAGTAACAGAAGATCTGTCAGCACCCTCAAACCTTGTGCTAAAGATGCATATATGCTTTTCCAGGTATTTCAGTTGATAAAAATAATTTTATTACAGAATATAGTTTTGTGTGACTCTTTGATTTTGGAATTTTATGTCTGATTTAATTTTTCAAGTGTCAATGTTTTAAATTGTCAAATTTTAAAGGGTCAAAAGTAGTATTTCAGAAATGTTCTAGAACATTAAAGAGCATCTATAGCTAAGGAACATGATAAAATGTTACATTTCATTTTAAGGAAATAAAACGAACTAGAAAAAGAGGCATATTAGGGATGACTAGTAATATAAAATAATTTCTGTGACATAAAAATTTAATAAGCCTTGGTCTACTTAATACAATATGATATGCAAATACCTGATTTTTATGTTACTTGTCATGAATATATCTTTTAAGTAAAATAAGATTTAACTGCACTGAAAATTTTACTATTTTTTTATTAAAGGGTTATTTTAAGTGGTTTTTCATTAAAAGACTATTAACCATTTATCTGCACCTTATGTATTGTCAATATACATGATTCTTTAAAAGTTTACTTATATAATCAAAATAGTTTTCAGAATTGAATTACCAGTGTTTAGTTTCTAAGGAGTAAAAACAACTAAATAAGAGATAACTTTTAAAAATTTTATGAATTTTGAAAAGCACATTTCATTCCAGCCTGTGAATGTTTTATTTTTTATTTATTTTTTGACTTATTTTCCCAGGACCTTTGTCAGTTGGTTAATGCTGATGCCCCTTACTGGCTAGTAGGCATGACAGAAATGACTCGAACATTTGGCCTTGAATTACTTGAGTCAGTCCTGAATGATTTTCCACAGGTCTTTTTACAAGTAAGCCATTCGTAGTATCTTGCAACAAAATTAATCAAAATTTTTTCACAGATATTTTTCAAGAAAGTAACATGTATTCTCATGTTAGAGGATTGAAAGAATTACAGCTTTAGACTTTAGATATGTGATAATTTAGTGTTATCTTACATTATTATAGTGCCCTAGCACTTTGAAATTTTAACATTAGAAGGAATCCCTAGAGACCATATAGTGAGGCGTTTCCCAACCTGTGGTTGTATGAGGGAATTTGGTATGTGAGCTGTTTTTTATAATATTTAAAAGCTGAAAAATTGTTACTGATTTTTACTTGCTTAAATGTAGCCCTGTGCTTTTGGATAATTCTAAAATATATAATTACGCAGGGTGCCTGGCTGGCTTAGTAGAGGAGCATGCGACTCTTGATCTTGGGGTCATGAATTAGAGCCCCATGGTGGGTGTAGAGATTGAAGAGATAAAAACTTTAAAAAAATAAAATAATTATGCTTGTTTGTCATTGAGTTTTTTTTTTAATCAGCTTATTGTGTTCTGTTTAAGCAATCTAAGTGGAACAAAATATTAAGTTAATTATTAAATCTTCCATGCATGAATGGAATTGTTATCTTGGCAAAGTAAAGTTAATGAATTATATAACGTATTTTATATATCTGGTCTTCTTTCAGCTGCCTATTTTAAATGCTTTAGCTTTGTGTTTGAACTTGTATAATCTGTCTTCTTTCTTATGTTCTTTGAATTGCTAGTGTCCTACCAAAATCACAATTCCTAATAATAAACCACTTAATTCCAAATCATTGAATGTTCCTTTTTAAATTAGATTCTTTTAAAACGTCTTGAAATATTGATGATCATTTTGATCTTACACTCTCAAAGAGCAGCACTAATTTTATAATTGTTGTAAACTATAGAATAATAAACTAAACATATAATAAAGCTAAATTATTCATACTGATTATTAATAAGTTTTATTTGATAGTAAGACTGTGTTTTACTATTAACAAACTAAGTTAATTCTTTTTTTTTTTTTATCTTGCAAATAGCACCAAGAGTTTAGTTTCCTTCTCAAAGAAAGGGTATGTCCTCTTGTGATAAAACTCTTTTCTCCAAATATAAAGTTCAGACAAGGTTCCAGCTCTTCATCTTCTCCGGCACCAGTTGAAAAACCGTATTTTCCTATCTGCATGCGTTTGCTGAGAGTAGTATCTGTTCTAATTAAGCAATTTTACAGCCTTTTGGTAAGTGCTAATTTTCATGTGTGTTTGTATGTGTAATTGCATGTAGTGTTCTTTTTAAATGATGATTTATTATGATGCATTCAGCTTTTCCACTTCACAATTTCTTTTAAAGTATTTATAGGTATTTTCCTAGTAATTCTATGGGTTTATTCTATCCAATCTTAGATTTTGCTTATGTTTTATATAGTATTTTTAATGTATGTCAGGGAGAGTCATGGCCTGTTATCTGAGGGCAGCATAGAATTTGTGGCTAGGGAATTCAGCCTATTAGCAAATTATCTATATCTCATTTGAAGGATCATTAAAATTATAGTATCTTCAATTTATGCTGCTTTCATTTGTACTATTTAATGTATCTTAACAGATTAAAGCAAAGAAGTTAAAAATTTGGTGAACTCTAGGATTAGAAATAAACTATTTTGACTTCTAGTCCAGTATTGTATTTATTTTGCATAAATTTATGAATGCAGAATATGTTGTGATATTCCTGATCATGGTATATCAATGTGATATTTTTCAGAGAAAATGGTATATTATATTGCTTTTTAATTTGATGTTATGTGAAATTCATCCTTGTAAAATTTTTTAGCTTATATCCTAATTTTAATTAACAGGAATAATTGGCTATTGATAATTACAGAATAGTAAACTATATAAACTCATAATACTTCTAATATTGTGAGCAGTCGATGTACTAAATATTAGAGGTAACCAGCAACTTTACAAACTAATAGATGGTAGTTTATACTAAATTCCGTGGAGAGCTTTTTAAAATAAAGGGCTTTTTTTTTTATATGTATGATAAACATGTCATAGATTTTCTTTTCGTATTCCAAATCCATTTATGCACAATATATTCAGAAATCATCTTTATAAGCACTGTAGTTGTAATTATTTCTGGCCACACAAAGTATACCTATAGTACACATTGATGTATTTAATGTACTTGTAGGAAATCAAATCACTTCAAACGAATTGCTATTTATTGGGGACACTATTAAGTTATCTGAGTTGGGTGCCAAAGGTTTAAGAGTCTTTTGGTACACTCATAATTGTTGGCTTGGACTTTTTTTGTTCCACCAAAATTAATAACATAGAATTGAACATTTAGGTACATAGTTTGTGAATTTACTTTAGTTCATAGCTCCATCTTTCTCTGTAAGGATTAACTTTTAAAAATTACAGTGTTACTCCCAACATGTATGATATTTGATGTAATTTCCAATAATTATTATTAATTGAAAAAAACAATACTTTTTTGTCTAATTATATACAATTAAAATGGAGGGAAATTCTGTGAGTCTTTACATTGATTAACTTTTGAAAGTTTTGAAAGGTCTCCTGGCACTTGCTGAAAATAAATGAAAAGTAGCTTAATTTCTCCAAAGATGGAGAACTTTTACCTATCACCTGTTATATTTTCTGAATTATATTTATTTATAGTCTGTTTTAATCCACAAAGAAACTTTTTAAGAATGTAAACCAGAGTGACATTAGCAAAATGTTGGAATATGAAGCTGAGCCTCTCTGTCCCCCATGGGGACACCAAGTTAAGTTAACAGTCCATAGATTACCTCTGTGAGAACTTATCAGTTGAGAGGTTATAGCACCCCAGGCACATGTAAGGTGAGGCAGAGAGGTTCATTAGAATAGGTAGGAAATCTCAGTGCGCTTAGCTGCATACCTCCTCCCACTCCTTACACAGCACAGCATGGTGTGATCAGGAGCAAACTCCCAACCTACGGTTTCTCCTTCACATGGCAAAAAGGTGAAGTGTGCATCCACCATTCTGACTTTTTGGGGCTATGCCCAACTGGTTTCTGTCTCCCTTGATTCTTGGAGCACTGACAGGAAAGGCAGCAAGCACACTTGGGCCTGCTGAGAACAAAGGCAAGCCCTGCTGCTTCCTGCTGCCCAGAGAGGGTCGTACTGCGGACATACACCAGGGGGGAGCTCCTGAAAAGAAACAAGTAAATGACTTCAGCTGGGAAGCTACACACACAAGCCCAGAGGAAACAAACACATTGACAGAAGAGGTTTGAGAGGATCCCAGGCTGATTGGTGAAGATCTTTCCCTGTACAAAACCAGTCCATAAAGACTAAAATAGTTGGCTTTTTTCAAATGCCCAAGTTTCAACAACAAAAATAACAAGGCATACAAAGAAACAGGGAAACATGGCCCAATTCAAGGAACAGAATTAATCTCCAGAAACTAACCATAAAGAAATGGAGGTCAGTGAGTTACCTGACAGAAATTCAGAATAATCATAAAGGCACTGAGTGAACTAAAAGAGAATACAGAAAACTAAATGAAATAAAGAAAGTGGTGTATGAACAAAATGAGAATGTTAATAAAGAGATAGAAACTATAAAGGATAAAACAAAAATCTAAAACAGAAGAATACTGAATTGAAAAATGCACTAGAGGGGGTCAGCAGTAGACTAGATCAGTAGACTAGAAGAAAGAATCAACAAACTTGAAGATAAGTCATTTGCAATTACCAGGTCAGGGGAGCAAAAAAAAAAAAAAGAAAAAAAAAAAGAATGAAGAGCCTGTAAGGACTTATGGCATACCATCCAGCAGACCAAGATACACATGTCTAGTAAAAACGCACTGGGTTACATTCTCACACTCGTAACACCCCACACGTCAGACGTATGGATTTTTTCATACATCAGCCAATACTCTGACAGCCAGATGTTAATTCTGACATTAACCAGAGTTAGCACAGACTCCGTCCCACAAGATTCCCCTCCATTGCAGATGCCAATCACAAGTAGTAGGTTACCCACTTACCCACAAATTCTAACTTGGCTATATATGGGAAGTTCCCACAACCACCTCTTTGGGTTTGATAATTTACTAAAGAACCTAGGAAAACAGTTTACTTACTATTGCCTATTTATTATAAAAGATATTTTAAAGGATACCATTGAATAGGCAGATGAAGAGATTCATAGAGCAAGGTCTGGAAAAGTCCCAAGAGCAGGAGCTTCTGTCCCCATGAAGTTGGGGTGTGTAACTCTCTTGGCATGTATATGTGTTCACCAACCTGGAAGCTCCATAAACTCTGTACTTTTAGGATTTTTATGGTGTTTTGATCATGAAGGCATAATTATTAACTCAGTTTCCACCACCTTCCCTTCTCCAGAGAATGTGAGGAGTGGGGTTGAAAGTCTCAAGCTTCTAATTATGATTGTTTTTTCTCGTATCCAGCCCCTGTCTTGCAATCCATCAAGAGATGCATCATTAGAATGGAAGATACTATTCACATAGGAAATTCCAAGAGACTTAGGAGCTGTGTGTCAGATGCTTCTATCACTCAGGAAATTATAAGGATTTTAGGAGTTCTGTCAGAAACCAGGAGCAGAGACCAATATATATATATTTCTTACTACTTCACAATACATTATGGGAGTCTCAGGTGAGGAAAGAAAGGGGCAGAGAGCCTGTTTGAAGTAATGGCCAAAAACTTCCCAACTTTGAAGAAGGAAAGGGACATAAAAATTCATGAAGCTCAGAGAATTATAACTAGGATTAATCCAAAGAGACCTATACCAAGACACATTATAATTAAACTGTTAAAACTTACAGAAAATCTTAAAAGTAGCAAAAGAAAAGCAACTTGTCATGTATAAGGGAGCACTCATAAGACTGTCAGTAGATAGCTCAGCAGAAAACTTGCAGGCCAGAGAGAAATGGTATGCTATTACTGAAAGAAAAAAAACCTGCCAATGAAGGAGAAATTAAGACTTTCCCAGATAAATTAATTACATTAAATTAAGATAAACAAATGTATAGGAAGAAAAGACATTCCTCCTTTTCCTTTCCATATCCACTAGCCAGTCATAGAGCACCAAGTCTTGTGTTCTCACAGTAACGCAGCATGCTTATACCTTCTTCATAACAAATACAGAGTTTACATTTTCTGTTTCCAAACGAAAATTACCAACTTCTTTTTTGTTTTTATAAAACTTGGTGCTGAGTTGTACCCCTCAAAATTAACATTTTGAAACCCTAACCCCTAACATGATAGTATTTGGAGATGGACTCTTTGGGAGATAATTAGGTTTAGATGAGGTCATACAGGTAGTGCCATCATGATGGGCTTAGTGACCTTATAAGAAGAGACACTAGGGAGCTTGCTTGCTCTTTCTTTCTGCCACGTGAGAACACGGTGATAAGGCAGCTGTCTGCAAGCTAGGAGGAGAGCTCTCACGCAAACCCAGTGATGCTGGTACCCTGATCTCAGACTTCTAGCCTCCAGAACTGTGCCAAACGATTTAAGCCACCCAGTCTGTGGTCTTTTGGTATTCTAACAGACTAAGAACTTGGTTTCTGTCCACCAGTTCTCTTATGTAGCAGTTCATCTGGTGAGTTTTTCAGAGATACAGATACCTTATTCTTCAGTAATTTCAGTTTTGGATGAAATTGCTGTTTTTGAGTGCATATATTTTGGACACTGTACAATGTGCTTTACATATATTAATTCATTTAGACTTTACCACAGCTGAAAAAATGAGACTCAGGATATTTATGTAATTTGCCTGAGATTATACTTTCTAAGCCACAGAGCTGGGATATTAATGAATTCTTTTAGACTCCAAAACCCTCGCTCTTAATTCCAGTGCAATTTGCTACTACTCTGTTTTCTTAGTTCTCATTTCATTTCTCTCCAAGGCTGCTAGTGCTAAATTTTCAGTACTGTTCCTATACCATTCTCCATATTTAGACCTTAATCTCCTTGACTTGGGGGGATAAAAGGGGGAGATAAATAACAGTATAGCCAGCTGTAGGAAAGATTGAATGTTACTACCTAAAGGTAGAAAAATGCTTACTTCTGTGTACTTCACTCATAGGGGGTGATGGTCAACTGGCAAAATTTCTCTTCCTAATAAGGCAGCTCTAGGACCATGTTTATAAAGATGAATCCTTCAGATCTATATAAGATACTAGTTTCTCAGGGACACCTGGGTGGCTCAGTCAGTTAAGCATCTGCCTTCAGCTCAGGTCATGATCCCAGGGTCGGGCTCCCTGCTCGGCGGGGAGCCTGCTTCTCCCTTTCCCTCTGCCCCTGCTCATGTTCTCTTTCTTGCTCACTGTCTCTCTCAAATAAATAAATAAAATCTTTAAAAAAGAAAAAAGATATTAGTTCCTCATTGTTACACTTTGTGAGATTGGAACTTAGCAGTATGGGAAAGTGCAGACATTCTGTAGTTTCTCCAAAGGCAAAAGCTAAAGGTATGGTACTTGTGGGGTAAGATATGTAATTATGAAATGCTTCTCTCTCATTTCTTTGTGTTTTCTTTATTTACACATAGCTAATGATACATTTCCTAGGAGACATACTGGAGTAATAATTCTTATACTTTATAGTCTTTGGATCCTTTTATGCTTGTAATAAAATATTGAGCTTTTGTCTATGTGGATTATTTCTATCATTTATTATATTAAAGATTAAGTCTGAGATCCTATTAAACCCATTCATGTTAACATAAAAACTTAATATTTTTTCCAGTGGGAAAACAAAGATTATATATATATTTTAATGATTTCCTCATCTTTTTATTTTTTAAAGATTTATTTACTTGTTTGAGAGAGAGAGAGCATGCAAGCTGGAGGAGGGGCAAAGGGAGAAATAGAATCTCAAGAATCTCAGACTCCATACTGAGCAGGGATGTGGAGCCTGACACGGGGCTCGGTCTCACAACCCAGAAATCATGATCTGAGCCAAAACCAAGAGTCGGATGCTTAACTGACTGAGGCATCCAGGCACCCCAGAGATTTTGTTTTTTGCTTTAATGTCTGGCTTAGTAGAAGATTAGCTGGATTTTCCTATCTTCTGTTTTCATTTTGTTGTGATATGTTGTTTTGGTTGAAACATATGAAGAAAATCTGGCTTCTCTAAGTAACGTAGTTGGAAAAGGCAGAATTATCTTAATGGATATTAATATTATCTTAATAGTGGATATTCTTCTTTGATACTGCACCAAACTGGACTAGTGACAGTTTAATGGTGTAGGATCTGAAACCTTAGTAATGACATTTTCATACTCTATTACATTAAAATTCATTGATTCATCTTGTGCTCTCATTGTATCTTTTATCCATACATGGTTTTGTAATATGTATTTTAGTTGTGCAGCTATTCCAAATGTTAACACTTTATACAATACTAAAAATGACGTATGTTAATCACTAACTATGTATCAGATAAATCTCCCGTTATTAAGAAATTGTCAAGGTCACAGTGGTAGATACAATAATACTGATTTTTGTTTGAAAGCTTGAATCTAATCTTTGGCAACAAAAACTGTCATTTGTTTCCCTTAAAGAATGACAAGCTTACTTTGTTCATTTTTGACAAAGTGTCTGCAGTATACACAAATCTAAATAGTTGTAGTTTACCATTTGCTCTTTTAGTTAAAATGGTGTTTGATAGAAGTGACTAGATCAGTTCTGAACTGTGCTTTTCCTCCAGACAGCCATTGTACTTTGGTGCATAGCAAAAGTGTTTCATATGTATTCTCATTTTGTCACACAGAAAATTAAAAAGACATGCACTTATAGGTCAGACTTAAGAAAATCAGTAATTTAATTATATTTTTTATTTATGCTATTTTTTTCATTATGGTTCTTTAGTGAAATAGACCTTTTTTTAAAAAAATGTGTGTGGTGGTGAAGAATACAATGACAGTAGTGCAGTCTGGTGTTAGTGCCTTGATTCTTGATAAAGCTGTTTTACCCACCATGCTTTTGTACCTTCATTACAAATGTCAATGCACTGAAAATGGCAAGTAATATATTACTATAAAAATAATTATGACCTCACTTTGACCCCACTTTGGGGAATCATTGAACTAGAGAATCTGTTTTCCCCCAGTATTCACCAGCTTATCTCATTCTATCAAGTAGCTCAGGGGTGTAGATAGCTAATATTCAAAGGTTAGTTCTCTTAATATATCTAGAGTGACTAGAGGAAACTGGAATGCCCCAGTCATTCAGAAAGAGTTATAATATAGCTAGTATACTATAGTCTTTCTCTTTTCTATCATCTGAGCTAGGTGCTTTTCTGTCCTCTGAATCATTAGGCTTGTTCCCAGATATCTTTTTAAGGAAGATATGTTTAAGGAATTTATGAAGCTTAATTATAAGTGGCCAACATATCTCTCTTCTGCCTTTGACTTGCTGCTTTTAAAAAGGAATGAATGGGGCTAAATTGACTTATCCAACCTAATGTCTACTTCTTCACATACATGTCTTAGTACATACAAAGGATCTTAGTGCTAACAAATCCATTAACTATAAGGTCGTTAACTCTTACCAGGCTTTGAGAGATAGACTCCTGCATTTAAATATTCTATCAGGCTTTCTTGTGTCCTAAGCCAACAGTTATCTTATGTACATAATCTATCAGAAATCCATGTGATACTGTGATTAGAATTTCTACCAGGATGACTTTGATTAATCTTAAGCATCAGTTGTCTCTTGACTACTATGCATTACCAAAAGACTAGGAATTCAGACATTCATCACTCTTCATGCTTACAGTGGAGTTCATGAAGTATCTTCGTGCCACAAGGAATTGGACTTAGGCCGTAGATACCAATCTTAATACCTGTCTCCCCGGTGAGTTCAACCTCTAGGGGAAAAGGCTTAACAGATTCACAGCAGGCACCCTCCATTGATGCCCTTCAGAACAATGCAGTGACCTCAACACGAGTTCTGTGATCAGACTTTCACACTTGGCAAGGAGGGAGAAAGGGAGAACAGAGTTCCAGACCTCAGGAGAGAGGCTCTCCTTTACCCAAATTGGGAGGTTTTAGTGGCTACAGTATAAATTTGTTTAATTTGTGCTGTAGTCTGCCTCCAATAGGAGAGAAAATGATACACTCTTCAAGGCAAGTTTTAGAACAGTGTTTCCTTTGGCTGTGATATAATGATGTTTCTGAGAGCCTTTGTTTTCTGGCCTCAAAACCTGGCTGATAAGCCTTCAATTCTACCACATTTATATTTCACTTTCACTCTAAAGTAGGTAGTGTACATTTGGAGGCCCCACTAATGTTAAAACTCTGTAGTAGATACAGTTTGCACAGTGAGTCATCAGCATGATTCTTTATCAGTTCGTTACTAAAAGGATCATTTGTTTAGAAAAAATAATGTGCTCTGCATTTGCATGGCATTTTATCATGTTTAGGGGATGTTTTTAAAGATTTATTTCTTTATTTTTTTATTAGAGAGAGAGAGAGTGAGCGAGCAGAGGGAGCATGAGAGGGAGAAGGCTCCCCGCTGAGCAGGGAACCCGATGCGGGGCTGGATCCCAGGACCCTGGGATCATGACCTGAGCCGAAGGCAGCCGTTTAACCAACTGAGCCACCCAGGCGCCCCTAGGGGATGTTTTTATTCTTACAGTTTTCTCATTTGATTTCTCAGAAAGATGTAGGTATTTTTATCCTTTATTTATAAGAAGGTTATGTAGCTTGTCATCCACTCATTTGGTGGTTAAAGAAGCTGAGCCTATCTGATTTCTGAACTAGTGCTTTTCAACTGTCATGATTAGAACAGTGCTAAACCTCTGTTTTATGACTTCCCCATTCATAGCAGTCCACGGATTAAGTTTTTAATTATGCCTCCTACTTTATCCTCATGATTATGTCCTAATTTTAAGCGTTCAGTTAACAATACTGAAAGACATTAGAGAATACCAGCTGCTCCGGCTTTGGGTGAACATCCTGAGGGCCACTATTCCTGAAATTTCTTGCCTGAAGTGATGCCCGCTCATTTCAGGATACCCCCAGCTAACTCATCCAATAATCTGCTGTAGTTAGTGTAAAAGGAGGGTTCAGTTTGGCCTAGTAATCACAGGGTCAGGTTCTTAGCTCCCAGAGGTCCTGCTCTGTCCTAAGTTAGTGTACAACAGACGTAATCCGTTAACCTTTGAAAAACCCAGTTACTTTTTTTTGGTCATTTATTCATTTATTAGACATTATTTATTATTTTTATTTTTTTAAGATTTTATTTATTTATTTGACAGAGAGAGAGACAGAGAGGGAACACAAGCAGGGGGAGTGGGAGAGGGGAAGCAGGCTTCCCGCTGAGCAGGGAGCCCGATATGGGGCTCAATCCCAGGACCCTGGGATCATGACCTAAGCCAAAGGCAGATGCTTAACGACTGAGCCACTCAGGTGCCCCTCATTTGTTAGACATTTAATACATAATGTTGAGAATATGCTTCAAACATTTTTATTTACAAAGAGCATGCAGAGAAGATGGTTTATATTAATAATGGTAATGATAACTAATACTTATAAAGCAAAACTATGTACCAGGCCTTATTCTAAGTACTTTATGTATTTATACCTGTCAAGTGCTACAGATTCCTTTTTGTTTTCCTACTAGAAAATATATATTAAATGTGCGTAGGCTTATTGCCTCTTTGTTTAAGCAGCAAAAGAACATATGGAAAAACTTGTGGTGTTATCGAAGAGAAGAACCTACATCCTATCAGCTGTTGACATGATACATGCTACCTGCCAGGAATGAGGGTGGTGTGATGGTGCATAGTGCTTTCTAAAGAATAAGGGTAATAGATGAACCGTTTTAGCAATTCTCTAGTGTGTGTTTGCAGGGACGTAAGAGAGACTGATTATTTTTACTGTTAGCTTTCCCCATATAACTGCTTTTCCCTTTTTTTCTCTACTCCCCATTAAATGAATTTTAATTTATTTAAAATTGGAAGATTTTATTGGTTTGTCCATAACACGAAGAACAATAATGTAATTTATAAATTCTGATCTTAGATTTAAAGAGATACTATTAAAAATTTTTTTTTTTAGGTAACTGAATGTGAGATATTTCTGTCACTTCTGGTGAAATTTCTGGATGCAGATAAACCACAGTGGTTACGAGCTGTTGCAGTAGAATCAATACACAGACTCTGTGTGCAGCCTCAGCTCTTAAGGTAAAACCACAGCAATATTTTGTTAAATAGATAGGTTAATGTTTGCTAATAGGAAGAGTTTAAATATTTATTCCCAAATATTAGTGATTTCTAAACAAAGAAAATTGTATATTTTATGTATATGGAGCAGTAGCGGTTGTAAGCGTGGAAACAACTGAGAGGTGGGCAAAAATATATGGGTAGTAATTGCCATCAATCCAAACTTATTGGTTAATATAGCCAAGATGATTTTTTTTATAACATTGACCTCAGTCTGAACCTTTGTACTAACTTAGTAAAATCACTCAGGTGTGATGAAGTTTTAAGTATAGACTGATATATCAATATTAATTGCTGTTTTTCTCAGAAACATTTAAAATTATTTTACAGGTCATTTTGTCAGTCCTATGACATGAAACAGCATTCTACCAAGGTTTTTCGTGACATTGTGAATGCCCTGGGATCTTTTATACAGTCATTGTTTCTTGTCCCTCCTACCGGAAATCCTGCTACAACAAACCAAGCTGGTAAAGGCTAATTCATATTTTGTTTTTTAATATTCTGCCATGATTTACTGTCTTCACTATTCTGAGAGGATATTTTGTAGAAATTTTGTGACCGGAGAAATATGGATTACCTAAATGTATTGGTGGTAAAGACTTATACTTAAAGAATATTCAGTCTCATTGAGGCAGCTATGTTTAGTTCTTTCCAGAATATGTTTCCTTCTCTGGTATACTTTCAGTTTCTCTAATCACATAAGAATAAGAGTTTAGATGCTTATCTTCATTTTAGAAGAATCTTCATTTTGGGGCACGTGGGTGGCTCATTCAGTTGTGTCTGCCTTTGGCTCAGGTCATGATCCCAGGGAGCCTGCTTCTCGCTCTCTCTTTGCCCTTCCCCTTGCTTGTGCTCTCTCTGTCTCTCTCTCAAATAAATAAATAAAATCTAAAAAAAAAAAAAGAAGGGTCTTCGTTTTGTGCCTCTCTTAAAAGAACCTGGTTCACCACCTTAGGAGGTCTGTTAGTCTCTCTTTTAACAAAATAGGTAAACTTGATTTAAGCTTGTTTGGAAATCAACATATGGCTTCTTGTTTCTCTTTGCCTTTTTTATATTTATCTTCTACTTTTTACTGTCTGATTAATGATTTCTTAATTCTTAATCTTCACTTCTGATAAAAAATCATCTAACAGAAGGTGTATTATAAAGTTTTTGTAGTAGTTTTACTTATTAGTACCTTTTTTATAAAAAAGGAAGTGGTGTTCTGGGCAAATAGAGTCTCTAATAGCCAAAACAGGATTGATAAACTTCATTTATTCGTGCAGTATCCATTCTTATAGAACAAATTTTTTTAAAAAAATATTTTATTTATTTATTTGACAGACAGAGACACAGCGAGAGAGGGAACACAAGCAGGGGGAGAGGGAGAAGCAGGCTTTCTGTCGAGCAGGGAGCCCAATGTGGGGCTCGATCTCAGGACCCTAAGATCATGACCTGAGCTGAAGGCAGACACTTAACGACTGAGCCACCCAGGCGCCCCTAGAATAAATTTTTTTAATTGAACAGATGTTTGTGTATTATGGATTTGTAATTAACTAGTAAATTGGTATCTTTGCTTTCTTCCCTTTATCTAATAGGAAACAATAACTCAGGTGGCCCCGTCTCAGCACCAGCTAACTCAGGAATGTTGGGGATTGGTGGAGGTGTTACTTTGCTACCAGCATTTGAATATAGAGGAACTTGGATACCTATTCTAACTATAACAGTACAAGGCAGTGCAAAAGCCACCTAGTAAGTAGTAGTAGTTTTATTTTGTAATGAATGATGCCATTGGGATTATTTTATCCTAAAATGTTTTTGCATTATATTTTGAATTTTAAACCTAGTAATTCTATACAAATAATACAATTTAGAACTAATTTTCTCTTGTCACATGTTGAGAATTTTACATAGGATTGGATTTTGTTGTTTTCTTTTGTACAAATTACTTATGTGTTAGTGTTAACAGTATTGTGAAACAAAATGTGGTTTCTTTACCTGAGGACCTGTTTAGCTGTTTTATATGGCTTTTTGATTTAAGTATATGACTTTGGACTTAGGTCTTCTAATACTAACTGAGTCACCAGCAGCAAATTAGTTAACTTTTTTTAAAATCTCTGTTTCTTTACCTATAAAATGAGAGTAGTGATATATCTACCTTTCAGGATTCTATAGGTGAGAAAAGTTATTTTAACTGTGTAGCTAACTAATTACGTTTTTAGAGTTTAACACACAGTACTTTTAGTTTAATTAACTTAAAGTGTTTAATGGATTCCATATGTGTTATTTTTATTGTCATTAGTCATTTCAGTTTAACAAATACATATTTGGCGGTGTATTGTTGATTTTTTTAAGTCGGAGTGAACTACAGTGCTACAGAGATAAAGCAATCAATCAATCCTACATAGATTTGACACTACTGCGGTTACTGTTAGGCGGTCAGCTAATACATTTTGAATGCTTGGCATGTATAATTGAAACACCATTCCGATGACAGTAAATCAGAACTCAAAGTGTGAAGCAGAGTCTCTGTCTAGTTGTATGTTTAAATTTGAATATAGTTGACACACGTTACATAAGTGTACAATACAACGCAGTGATTTTACAAGTTTATACATTATGTTGTGTTCACCACAAGTATAGCTGCCATCTGTCCTCTTACATCACTCTTACAATACCATTGACTATATTCCCTATGCTGTGCCCTTTATTCCCATCATTTACTCATTCCATAACTGGAGGCCTATGTCTCCCACTCCCCCTCACCTATGTGCCCAGCCCCCACTCTCTGACTAGTTTAGATGATAAATGTATATGGTATGTCAGTCTGCATAGTATAATCATAGTATTTTGCTGTGCAGCTTTATTTTGCCTAAAATTATGAAAGTATAGAATCATAGAGGACTGAAATATTTAACTAAAATTCATTGTTATTCTTAGTCATTTAAAAGATATTAAAGTTACGTAGTTTCATATAAGCTTTTGTTTGCTACAAAGGCTAGTGCTCTAGTATACTAGACTATCAAATTTAAAAGAAATCAGATTTCTAGCACTGAAGGAGACAATATTATCTCATGCATTTCCCCACCTCATTTTATAAATTGAAAAAACCCCAACATGGAGCTAGTTGCCCTCATTGAGCTTACATTTTAGTGAGTGAGATAGTCAGTAAAGTTTCAAATAAACATATAATATCACCTTGGGTAATGGTTAATTCTTTGAAGAAAAAACAAATTAGGGGGATAGAGAGTGACAGAAATGATCTCTGAGGAAACAAGATTGAGCAAAATAACATAATTAAAGGGAGAGAGTGAAGATGTGTGCTTGAAGAAGAAAAATTAAAATAAATGAGTGACGAGAGTAAATACTTGGCAAAGTTATACGAATTACTTTTTTATTAATGGAAGTCTGAAACCAATTGTTCATTGATAATTTAGTCCTTACAAATTAAGCGAGTTGGATTTTAATTACTTCTACTAAATACTATGATTTTGAGTGTACAGCACATTATTTCACTTGAAGGAAAACTTAGGACTAAATCTCTAAAGGAACATATAAATAGTGGCGTTTTTTTAGTGCTATAAACACTGAGATTACTCACCTCTGAAATCAAAAATAGCCAGAAAATATTGGGTTTTCTTTTGCACATGGAATAGTAGGTTTCCAAGGAAGCCTCCCTTTTGAGTTGGCATCTTTTAGTCATTCATTTGCTGTGAGATTCAGTATAAAGTTATTTTCACTATTTTCTTTGAAGGCATACATGTAAATCTTGATTGTGTATTCTATTCTTTTATTGACTTTTTAAGTATATAATCATTTGAAAGCTTAAGTAATGCACAGACAGAAGTAGTTTTGACCTAAGTATTGTTGACATATTCTTTCTGATTGATTACACTATGGCTCCTTTCAAAGTTGGGCTTGCGACAGTTTTGCAACTTTACCTTAAATTTAAAAATATTTAAATAAATGGGTTACATTTATCTAAAACTGGTATTTACGTACTATTTCTAATTAAATACCACTGAAATATTGAGGTAAGAAAGTGTGGGCTTTGTTTTAGGTTGTGGTGTAAATAAAAATAAGCGTAAATCACCTTTTTCTCTTATCTATTCTAGCACCTAAGGTCTTTACCATAGAATTTGGGGATTAGAGTTTGGAATATTTAGAATTACTTTCTTTGTTTTAGATGCATTTTCTCAGTAGATCATTTGTTCTTTGAGAATAGAGATTTGTCTGAAAAAATGCTTAGCACTCATAGGCTTAATGTGTGGCTCTGAAAGGCTCATTGGCTTGGCAACGATTAAACCCATAAACTTTACCTCCTTGTTTGAACTTAGATCTCTTTTGATCAGTAATATAAATATATCTTTATTGATTACCTAAATTTTAAAATCCTCGGAGCTGGCACATACTAGGGGTTAAATTGATAGGCTTTAGAGTCAGACTTGGGTTAAGAACTGTTGATGGATAACTGTGTCACCTTAGTCCTTAGTTTCATTATCTGTATCTTTTAGGGGTTTGTGAGGAGTTAAACAAGATAATATACATCAAAAAATTCCTTAGAGTCCCAGGCCAAGAGTTATTACACAACAAATGGTAGCTATTTGTAGGTGTTGTTATTGTTTATTCTGAGTTTTGCATTTCTTTACAAATTACCTACCTCCAGTCTTGATTATGATTCAGTAACTTTTAGAATTTGAGGTTGGAAATCTCTTTAACTTACTGTAATCTTTAGTGATTTCAGTTTTGTTTTTGAGATGTAATCCACATACCATAAAATTCAGCCTTTCACAGTATACATTTTATGATATTACTGTATTCAGAAGCTATCTAACAATAATCACCTTTAATTCCAGGACATTTTTCATCATCCCAGAAGGAAACCCATATTCATTATCAGTCATTCCCTGGTCTCCCTTTCCCATTCCCCTAGCAACCACTAACCTATTTTGCATTTCTACTGATTTGCCTATTCTGGATATTTCATATAAATGTAATCATACAATAAATACTCTTTTTTTCAGGCTTCTTTCAGCATGTTTTGAAGGTTCATCTGTGTTGTAGGATGTATCAGTACTTCATTTCTTTTTATGGCTGAATAATACTCTAATTTATGGATGTACTGTATTTTGTTTCTCCATCAGTTGATGGGTATTTGGATTGCTTCCACTTTTTGGCTTTTAGAGATAATGCTGCTATGAGCATTTGTTTCAACTTTTTGCATAGACATATGTTTTCATTTCTCATGGATATATACCTAGGAGTAGAATTACTGAGTCATATATTATTCTATGTTTAACTTTTTGAAGAACTGCCAAACTATTTTCCCAACTGACTGTACCATTTTATATTCCCACCAACAGTGTATAGGGGCTCAAATTTCTCCACATCCTCACCAGTACTTTTACTGTCTTTTGATTATTGTTATAGTCTTTTGATTATAGCCATCCTAGTGGACATTAAATGTTATCTTACCATATTTCAGTTTGCATTTCTGTAAATACTGATGGCATTGAGTATCTCATTCACGTGCTTGTTGGCCATTTATATATCATCTTGGGAGAAATGTCTTTTCAGATCCTTTGCTCCTTTTTAATTGGGTTGTCTTTTTATTATTTAGTTGTAAGTGTTCTTATATATTCTGGATCTTTAGTCCCTTATCAGATATATGATTTGCAAAAATTTTCTATTCTGTGGATTGTTTTTCATTTTCTTAATAGTTGCCTTTGAAGCACAATAGTTTTTAATATTGACTACTTCAGCTTATCTGTTTTTTCCTTTGTTGCTTGTGCTTTTGGTATCCTATTTAACAAATCATTACCTAATGTGAGGTCATGAAGATTTTTGCCTGTGTGTTCTTCTAAGAGTTTTTAGTTTTAGCTTGTATATTTAGGTCATTGGTTAATTTTGAATTAATTTTTGTATATGGTACAAGGTAAAGATCCACCATCATTCATTTGTATATGAATATGCAGTTTTTCCAGTACCACCAGTTTTTTTTTTTCATTGCATTATCTTGATGGATTTCAATTTTAAGGAATTTAAAACCATAATTCCTTATTTGCCATGATTTAAGACAAAAGATTTGTTATCTTTCTTTTTGAAAGCTTTGTTCTAACCATGGGGTAGAAACTGCTCTAAAATTCAACTTTGACATATTATGCTCTGAGTATTACTCTTATGTTGGCAGGGTGTGTCTGAGATGATAGCTAAGCTAGATATCTCACAGTAATACTTTCTCAGTGTGAAAATATCTTCCTGTTTATAGGATTGATTTGATTTCATAGTACCTTATTTTGAAAGCAACTGAGTCAGAGTTTGAGAAGTTTTATAATCTATTTAGTCTTACTCTATTTTATATGTAGTCTTTATTTCTCTAATACCAACAATTAAAATATTGGCACATTTAGGGGGAGAGGCAAAAAGTAAATTGTTGAAATAATTAGTTATGGCAGTGGTCAGGCCTTAATTTTTCTAATCAGTTTCTTAGAATACTGAGAAAGGATCCCTCCTCCAAATGAAACAAACTCAGTAATGTCCATTGACTTTTCCTATTCTGTTGCTCTTCATTTCTATGAACTACAAATACTTTTATATATTTTCATTATCGTGGCTTTTAATTAGTGTTTTTTCTTAATTTCAGCCTAGAGATGTTGGACAAAGTTGAGCCCCCAACTATACCAGAAGGTTATGCTATGTCTGTGGCATTCCATTGTTTGCTTGACCTTGTACGTGGAATCACTAGTATGATTGAAGGAGAGTTAGGAGAGGTTGAAACAGAATGTCAGACTACCACTGAAGCAGCTTCTTCACCAACACAGTCATCAGAACAGCAAGAATTACAGTCAACATCAGACCAAATGGATAAGGAAATAGGTATATTGATGTCTGTATTTTTAATTTTTATTTTGAAATAATTTGAAATTTACAGAAAATTTGTAGACGTACTCAAGTTCCCATATATCCTTCACCCTAATTTCCCAGTTGTTAACACTATCCTATTTGTGTTACCATTCTATTTATATATGTCACTATACTTTTCTCCTGAACTATTTGAGAATAAGTTGCAAATGTAATGCCCCACTATCCCTTAATACTTTGTGTTTTCTTAAAAATACAGACAGTTTCCTAACATAACTACAGTACAATCCCATCATAAATTTAGCATCAACCCAGTATTTTCTTATCCCAGACCTCATTCAAATTTTGCCAGTTGACCCAATAATGTCTTTTATGTTGGATCACATGTTGAACTTAGTTCCATGTTGCTATACTATCCTTTAATCTAGAACACTTCCTTAGTTTTTTTCTTGTCTCATATGACCTTGACATTTTTTAAGAGTATAGGCTAGTCAGTTTAGGTTTGTCTTTTGTTTCCTTATAATTAGATTCAGTTTACTCATTTTTGTTAGGGCTACCATAGAAATATTGCTGTGTTAAATGTAGTCTATCAACATAGCAGGAGCATTCAATTATCAGTATGTCTCATTATTGGTAATGTTAACTTTTGTCATTTGGTTAATACGGTGTCTGGTTTCTTCAGTGTAAGATTAATTATGAACTTTTTGTGGAGAAATACTTTGAGATCTTTGCTATAAAGAGAGCTTTCCCTTCTCTCCCATTTTTTTTTAATTTCTCATTTATATTAGTATGGATTCTTAGATTTCTATTTTGTTTGAAAAGTTACAATATGATTATCGTTATTTGGTTTAACACTCAGATTGTTCCTGATATGGCCAGTGGGACCCCTTTCAAACTGGCCACTGTGTCCTTTTAGCATTTTCTGAGCACTGTCTCACTATCTGACACAACACAATGTTCCAAGCTCATCTTGGATCTTTCTTGCCAAACCCAGGAATCAGTTATTTTTCTAAGGAGCCCTCACTCCTTTTAGTTTAGTATTTAGAAACTAACACATGGGCACTTGTGTGCTTCTTACTACTTGGAAAGGAAATACACACACACACACACACACACACACACACACACACCTCTTTACGTTTTAAAAATGTTTGTCTAAAAATGTCTAAATGAGGTTTCTCCAGTTCTGGTTTATACCACAAGGCTTATTTTTAACTTTGCATGTTTTCAATTACCTTTTCCAAAAGTGAGAAACTTGGTCCCAGTTTATTCAATGGATTTACTCATTTGCTCCATTCCCAGTGTATAGAAATCAGTCTCCTGGCTGAACAGCTTGTTACACTGCCTTTCTCCTAGCTGGTCACAGAGGCTGGAAGTTTGGCTCAATGAAGGGGAAGGGAATAGGAACCGGTATTACACACACACACACACACACACACACACACACACACACACACAC